TCCACAAATCTAGAAATTTTCACTTATAGATCTACTGCCAAACTTACAAAATTTTCCAAAAGTATCATCCATTTTATTTCACAAATTTAGAGTCACCCAAAACAAATTCCAACTTTGCAAATCTCTTACAAAGTCATTATCCATCCAAAACCCTCAAAATCAATGCTTATAGAAACCCTATCAAGTTTGCTTTCTAATCTTATTCTTCAATATGCCAAAAAATCCCAAAATCATTATTGAGGCTTGGTTTTGTGCCTTAGGGTCTGATTTCGACCCTTGTTCATAACCAACCTTCTTGAGGTATCAATATCTAGTTTTTCTACATAATTTTTGCTAGAATTTATTCTTAACTTCTTCTTAAAGATTCTTATATTATTTATTTTTCTAATCTATTTTTTTTGTCTTATTTATGGCCTTAAAAAGTAAATAGAAGTCACTTTTCTAAAAAGGCAGCATTACTAATAAAAATTATAATACCTTCCTATCTTTTATCTATATTTTTCTATTTTATCTTTTAACTTGGTTTTTCTATAATAATATCCATATTATCATCTTTCACCATATATTCATGTTACAACATTACAACATAATCATGCTTTGTCTTCTTGAATGTATAATTGTCTCTTAAAATAGAGTAGATTATTTTTGAACTTAAACTTGATAGTATCATAAGACTTAAAAAAATTATTCTTAATATCATGAATAAGAGGATCAAAGGACATATTCATTTGAACATGCTTAAAAAATATTGAATAGTTGATAATTAAATGCTTAAATACTTAAATCGATAATTAATATTAATTTCATTGCTTAAAAATGAAAATACTTTGGCTTTAAGAGAATATTTCTTTGTTGATCAAAAAATTACATCTCTTTCTTTTGGTATAAGATAAAAATATCTAAAAAGGACATTTGATAAAATTTGTTGTTTTTTGGATTGATAAGTAAACTTGAAATCAAATCTTGATAAAAACATGTTTTAATCAGTTTGACGATAATTCAAAATATGTGCCAACATGAAATACTTGAGGTTCTTATAATCTATATATACAATAAATAGATTAGAAGCACCTTCTAGATAATGGCATCATTCTTGAAATGAATCTATGATTGTAAAATATTCTTTTTTATAGATTTCATAGTTAATCTATGTTATATAAACTCCATAGAATGAAAAGCTACCAAGTGGAGCTTATCATCTATTCCTATTTATAAAAAAAAATACTTACAACAAAATTTTATGTATTCATTTCTATAAAAAAAAATGCATTAGGAAAATTGATACAATACAAGATTGGTACAAAAATAAATACTATCTTTAAGACTTCAAAAGATACTTCAATTTTTTTGTTGCACTCAAGTTTATCTTTACATATCAAATGTGTAAGAAGAGCTACAACTTGAAAAAAGTTCTTAATGAAGTTCTAATAATAATTGGCGAATCTCAAAAAGTATTAAATATCTCTAATTTTTTTTAGGATCTTTCAATCCATGATAGACTAAAGCTTCTTAAGATCAATCATAAGGCCATTATTTGAAATGATGTATCCTAAAAAGTCAACTTAATTAGTATAAAACATATACTTTTCTATCTTGATATGTAGGCTTATATCTCTAAATTTTTGTAATATATAGAAATATAAAGTTTATATTTTTTTGTATTCTTAAAATAATTTAAGATGTCATCTAGATAGCAAATAAAAAAATCATCTAAAAACTCTTAAAAAACATCATACATTAGATATTGAAAAGTATCTTGCGTATTTATGAGTCCAAAAGGCATGACATTGCATTTAAGATGTTTAAATTTGGTTCAAAATATAATCTTCTATTCACCTTTTTTTATATATACCAAATTATATGCTTCTCGTAGATCTATTTTTATATAGATCTTTGATTGATTGAGTTAATCAAAAAGTCTTACATCAAAGATAAATGATATCTATTCTTGATAGTGAACTTGTTAATAGTTGATATATATCCACAAAGATTTGTCTTTCTTCTTTATAAAGAAAATAGAAGCTCTTTATAGAGATTTTAAATAACTTATAAAGTTCTTAGCCAAGTTCTTGTCAATGCCCTCCTTAAATTTAATCAATTTATTTTGCAATAAATTATAGATTGGTCCAAATGATAGTTAACCTCCTTCTTTAAAATCAATTGAGCAATCATAGGGACAATGCTTTGTAAAAATATCCATATTTTTTTTTTCAAAAATATCTTAATAATCTTGATATTGATTAAAAATATTTCTTATAGTCTTTCATCTACCAAAAGTAAGTATGGCATATATGAGAAAAAATGATTCTACTTTTGTAGCATGCATAAAAGCACTTGTATCTATTAATAAAGATTTGGTTGTATTAGACTTATGGATTTCTAATTAATTAAAAAAATCTTAGATTAAATTATAAAAAAAATTAAGATTATAAGAAATCCAATCAATTTGAAGATTATAAGAAATCCAATCAATTTGAAGATTATAAGAAATCCAATCAATTTGAAGATTATACTTTTTTAGCTACAAAAATCCTAAAATAATTAGATTGAAAGGAATTCTAATTACATTAAATATTACTAAGCTATTATGACCATTAGTTGTTATATCTAAAAGAATAGTTTCATAAATAACATCTCTAAAAGATAACAAACAATCACTTATTACTTGTATATTTACAAATTTTATTTTTTTAACTAAAGATATTTCTTATTTTTTGACAAAATCTTTATTTATGAAATAGATTTAGATTATTCAATCTAACAAAAAAACTTTGTGATTTTTGGTCCTAGATAAACTTCTATTGTAAAATAAGGTGAAGGATCTAGAAAGAAAATAGGACCTTTACTATATATTTTATAAGATTTTAGTTGCACAATTTCCATTGTAGTTGGAGAAACTTGTTTTTTAATACATTATTCTCTTCAACAACCACATCCTTTATTTTATGATTATGTTGTTTTTTTGGATAATTTTGAGTATTATGCTTGGATTTTCTATAATATAAGTACAAACCTTTTTGAAGACATTGAATCTTTTCTTGCTGAGTAAGAAATTTGAAATGTTTCATGTCAATTTGCATAGGCTTTGGCTTTAATGAATAATCTTCCAAAAGCTTAAAAGATGTTACTATAACTTGATTTGTAAATCTTCATTCAAATCTTTTGGCATCTTTTAAAGAGTCAATTATTGCATGCAATGGCTTGAACAATAAATTGCTCTAATGAGTTTGCTCTTGGCATTGTCAATAATAAATCTTTGAAATTATCTTTTAATTCATATCAAAATTAATTGATAAGGATTTTATCATTCTAATCTATGTGGCAAGGAAGGTTTTGGAATTTTGCACCATATATAGTTGCTAAATGTGTTCCTTCTTATAAAGATACAAGTTTGATCTTTATTATTTTTTTTCAATCACTTTTTTTAAATGTAGCTATAAACACTTCCATGAATGAATTTAAAATATAGAATAATAGTGAATTATTTTCCATCAAAAAAGCAAATAAAAAGGAAGCACTTCTAAATAAAAGTGGACCTATAAATCTCACTTAAGTAAATCCTTTAAAATATTGAGACGGATGCAATTTCAAATAGAACTTGACTTATTGTAAAAATCTTCAAAATTTTGATCTTATTCCATCAAACTACTTTGACATATTTATCCTTTCTTCATACTTATAATAGCAAGATTTTTTACATTTAATTATAAATTTATTTACTTGCTTTTTTTAATTATATAATTTCTTAGCATAGACTTTGGACTTCATTGTTAACTTCTTTCATAGGTGTAGGAATAATACTTCTATGATTTATGTTAGAAATATATGAGATTTCTACCTTAAGAGTATTAATAAGCTTGTGGAGATTTGAAATATTCATAAATCTATTTTCACTTTTGTAAAGAGTAGTATTCATAATTTTTTTCTTCCATAAGTAACTCAAAAAAATTCAAAAGTAAAATTACAAGAAGATAAACTCCAACCTTTAATATTAAATAAAATTTCCACAAAGAAGAATAATATTTTCTCTTTAAAAAAATAAATTGTGTTAAAAAACTAAGTATTATTTTAAAGGTGGATAGTCTGCAACCTTTAAAACACAATAATAAAAATAAAGTAATTTATTCACTTCTAAAACAAAATAAGAACAATGAATTAACACTCTTTATAAACTATCAAGGACATGAATCTCAAACAAATAAAAACTCAATACATTCTTGTGTCATTCAAAAAGAGTAGATATTTATTCAAAATTAATATAGTATTAAAACTAAAATAACTGTTATCAAAGATAAGAAATTAAAAAGACAATTTATCACATGGGCAAATAGTCTTGATATTATAATGAAATAACCAAATCTCTTTAGAGTGAGTCATTTTAATAAAAATTTGAATTGCTTTATCATTCCTTTTTATGTATTAAATAAAGAATAATGCAATACATATGATATAATTTTTATTACAACAAAAAATCAAAATAAGCAAAAAAAGAAATCCTTTATTCTAAAATAGGAGCAATAAATAAATAATAAATAAATCTTCTATAAGCTTTTGTTAGCATATTTTAGAAAGGTAATACAGATCTTAATAATATTTATTCTTTATTGGCACTAAAACTTTATTGATTTCACATAAAAAAAGAACACCTCATTCTATTTTTAAGATTCACTTCGAACTGTATGATGAACTAAATTGTTGCATCATTACATCGTAACCAAGGAGCCATGAAACACAAATAAATGAATTATATATTTAAACAATAATTACAAATTAATTTCGACATTCAAAAAGTTGTGTATAAAACCCAAGAGAACTTACTTTGAATGTAGATTGCAAAGAACAGGTGTAAGTCAGCCCCTAAATTGACCTAAAATGGATGAAAGCACATTGTTATTTCAAAGGCAGCTGAAGGGAAACCCTTAAAGTCCAGAGTTCATGAATTCTTGAAGGGGGAGCTTCGCATGGCAACCCAGCTCAGGAAGGGAGCTTGTGGGGCAGCTATGGCGGAGCCCAAATTGCTCGCCGAGGCTCTCAATGCGGTACTGCGAGCATCACAATTGCCCGATGACAGAAAAAGCCTCGTAGTCGGCGATGATTTCAACAACGGTCTCGATCTCGGCGCGCTTTTGTGCTCTTTGCACTCTACCGGTTTCCAAGCCGCGCACCTGGGTCAGGCAATCACGGAGGTCAACCGCATGATTGGTTGTAGCCCCCCCCCCCCCCCCCCCCGTCTTGTCTTGCGTAGCATTTGCGTGACTCATTTGGAGCGTAACGTCATCGGATATGCTACTTACGATGATTTGTAGAGGTCACAAGTTGTATGACTATGTAATTGATATTGTTGTGAATTATGGCGACTGGGGGGAATAAATGGTGGGGATTTATTGTGCAAAGTGAGCAATTTCGCAGCTTTGCGACTGTTGTGTAGAGAATTTGAAATAAATTTGGGATTTCTTTTTGAGAGCACAGTGTTGTTTCATCTTAGACTTGGTCGATTATATAATGGTGACCAGTAATGTGCAGCAGGATTTTGTTGAGCTCCTTTTTCGATGGTAGCCGGATTTTTTTCGTATGTTTCTTTTGGTCTTCTTTCTCACACAGAGAAGTGTTTGGTTTTATCAATTCAGCTTATGTAGCTTCAAGACAATGTACAGTCCTTAAGAGCGGGTGACCAAATCCATATACTTCAGTCTACCTTTTGATTGACTGGTTAGTTTCTTAATGTACTAGTATTCCGAATCGCGGTCCGACCTTGTTAGCTAATGACTTACCGTGGAATTCTGATGTTGCAGCTGGACTGGCGGTTGAGTGATGAAACTATAGATGAAGACAATAATAATGATCATAGAGATCCAGAGTATCAGAAAGGAATGAAGTGCAAAAATTTCTTGGAATGTACTTCCAATCTCATTTCATCTGGAGCTCGTGAAACCATTAGCTTTCTCATTGAGCACAAATTGGTGAGCACTTTTTTTCATCTTCTCTGATATCTTGTCTGAATTCTTTGACTTTTTATTTCATCATCGATCAGACCAAGCTGGTGTAGAAGTTCTTCATATTTTGTCAGTTTGAGGTTTTTGGGTGTGACCTCGTGGCATGTCGTGTACTTTTCAAAAAATGAGTGCTTGATCCATAATTTGTGGTGATGTTAATAATGGGAAGCGATGGTGCTGTGCAGTCAGGTAGATGTGCTGGTTACTACAGCAGGTGGAGTTGAGGATCTTATCAAGTGCCTAGCACCAACTTACATGGGCGATTTTGCTATGAAAGGGGCTCAGCTTCGTTCTACAGGTCTAAGTGGTATCGGAAATTTGTTGGTGCCTAATGACAATTATTTCAAATTTGAGGATTGGGTTGTACCCATTCTCGACCAACTTTTAGTCGAGCAGAAAAATGAGGTTTTTTTTTCTTTTTGCGAATTCATCTTTGTTAGCGATTGCAAGGAGAAAAGCCTGAAAAGGGTAAAAGGTTTAAGTGCTGTGGGAATCATTATTGCTGAGAGGATAACATTACAAGGATATATACAAGGTTGTAGATGAATCTTTCACTCAAGTCTTTTCAAAGGTCTGCCTGAGAAATCCTTTGAGAGATTTTTGAATGTGCTGAAAATTGTGTTATTTTTGTCAGGGTAAATTGTGGACTTCATCAAAAGTCATAGCCAGACTTGGTAAGGAGATCAGTTATCCAGACTCCATATGCTACTGGGCACAAAGGCGTGCTACTCTTAAAAATGAACAGTTTGTTGAGATGCTGATACGTTGTGAAGTTTTGCTTTGCTGTTCACTTTTGATTTTGTCAATCAAAGGTAGTATTTACCGCCACCATGTCGTAGATTCATGGGCTTCCCTTCAGTTTGTCTGTTTCGGTAGGGGAAGGCTGAAAATGCCTCATATCAGATGTTCTGACCTTATCATTATCAAAGCAACTCATACGATGATTATTTTGCAATTTGTATGTAACATTCTGACTGGTTGGGGTGATTGATATGCAGAGTACTACACCTACATATTGTCCTGCACTTACTGATGGTTCGATAGGGGATAAGATCTACTTCCACTCTTTTCACAATCCGGGCCTTGTCATAGACATTATTCAAGGTAACTATTTTACATAGTTGTTGTTTACAAGGTCAATGATCCTTTGAATCCTCTATACTATGAATGACTTAAAGCGTTTCAATTCTGGCAGATATCGGAGGGATGAATGGTGAAGCTGTGTATGCTTCGCTTTCTAAAACGGGAGTTATCATCCTGGGGGGTGGCCTTCCAAAGCACCACATTTGCAATGCAAACTTGATGCGGAATGGGGCAGACTTCGCTGTCTTCATCTATACAGCCCAAGAGTATGATGGTAGTGACTCGGGAGCACGACCTGATGAAGCAGTTTCATGGGGAAAGATTCGTGGCAATGCCGATTCTATCAAGGTTAACTGGTTTTACACTGAACTACATTCATTCATTATTCTCCCACAAGTCTTTTCTTTATTATTATCAACATCATCATAATTGTTATGTTAATTTTCACTTACGCCTTTTGGATTTCCTCCTGAGACTTGGGCAATGTTTTTGGACGGTTTTGAATTTCGGGTTCACTGTGACGCTACGATAACATTTCCCCTTCTGGTATCCCAAACATTTGCTCCTAGGGTGAAGACGGAGGGATATACGAGGGATAGAGCTGACTCAAATTGATGAATTCCAGAGCGCACATAAAGATGCGTTTTTTGGACGATTCTTGTTATACCTGGAGTAGGAAGAGATATCGCAACAAAAGTTATAATGCGATGCATTTTTTGGACATGTACAGTGCCAGAGTTACATTGTTAGAGCTAATTTATGTAGGACATCTTACCATTTGAACCTTCCCACTTTTGAGCACGTCTCCTATAATTTATTTATAACATTCTTTTTGTCGCCGAATTTTGGACCTTGAAATATTGGAATTTTGTTAACTTTTTTCATGAGTTTTATGGTTGTTAATATTACAAGGGACCTAGCGACAGGATAAGGGTTTGGTCACCAGCAGCCTTCGTCTTGGTTTTTACCACCAGGATCATAAGAAATTAAAATATTCACTTGGGTCGCTCGTAAAGATCACCAGAATACACTACCATGTTATCACTTGAGTACGTAGTTGTGCTTCAAACTTGCAGAAGCAGATTCCAGACAATGTTCTCAACCCGCTATATTAACATTGCTCAATAGACTCTGGAGGGCAGTTCTATTCTAAACTCAACAAACAGTGACCAAAAATAAGAATCCCCGACCAATGTTGGACACAAACAAGAGGCAGGTTGGAATAACTTTCATTTACCTATCAACATTACAACAACTCGTCTTCAATGTTCACCTGAAGCTAACTATTAGAAATTGTTGCACTAGAGATGATCTTACAAAAGACACTGACCTCGGCTGGTAGATACATCTCAGCCGGTTTTATCCTCTCTCAAGTCTCAGAAATTGTAAGTGCTGTCAGCTCAGTCCACGCTCGATCTCTCTACAGGGAGGTTAACCACAACACAGATTATTGCACACCTGATGCGCAACCTTTGAAAGATAGTAGATCTAATAATTGATGGTAATGGATGGTTTCTGACAGGTGCAATACGAATAATTTTTCAATTCCTAAAAAGCCAGAATCAAACATTTACAGCAGGAAATGATTTCATTTGGACCATGACCACAGCGTACATGTTACACCTAAACTTAGATGCATTAGGGGATCAAAAGAACTCAATGAACATTCAACACGAGGATCTTAAGCTCTGTGCAACCAATTTAGTCACTATGCTTTCTGAAGGCCACATAAAATCTGCTAGTGCTACGGTAACTGCTACCGCCTTCGCTAAGCATGTTTCCTGTCATTTCAGAATAGGCGCTCGCTAATTCGTGCTATTACACCCAGAAAGGGCACAGTACACAAAAATGCGTGGAATTGTCCAAAATGGAGAGGAAATGTAGAATTGAATGTAAGGAAATAGGTACCACCCACCACCCTTTTACAGATTGCGCATCATCCCTTAACTTGTCCATCACAGCAGTATAAGTGCGGTAGCTTAATTCGCCCACAGACTTTACACTTGGCAATAACAGGAACCGACTTCAATATCTTTCCGCCGTTCCGCTTGCCCTTCCGCGACGGCGTCACCTTGCGCTTTGGCACAGCCATAAGCTCCATATCCCCGACTACATCATCAACAGCTTCCGGAAGCTCCATCCCGCTGTTCCACTCAACCCAAGCAGGTGACTGCGGCATCATTGAAGACGACCCAACATTCTGTGCCCCCGCAAGAGAACTGCAAGTCCTGGAATTCAACGAAAATGAAGATCTACACACTGTCCAGGAATTGACCAAGCGTCCCCCCACGGATCGCAGTGCTCGCAACATCTTCGACAATACTCCAAAACCCTAGACCCTGGAACCAAAGCACTAACACATACCTATCCGCGCGAACACCGTGCACATTCTCATTTGCCTCATGAACCCCCCGGGCAGGGCACCGAAAGCGAACCTCAGACCTCTTAGATGAACGTCGTATTATTTCATCATGAAAGATCATTCATCTAATTGACCACCATGGCCACCCTCCTTCTACATTCAAGTGTGAAGGTGTTGAAAGATTAGGGTTTGGTTGGTAGGCATGAAATGAGGGAAGGATTCAAGAGATGATGAGAGTGATATACAAAATGTAAGTATACATATATTATGTGTACATATATTATATGTATACTTAGAATTAGAACTTCTTGTTTTGCTTTTGGTATTATATGTTGTATTTAATTACAGAGGTGTAAGAAAGGGCCATAAAATTTAGATAGATGTATAAATAGATGAACACAAATAAGCATATATTTCTTACTTTAATCTAAAAGATATTTGATTTTGCATTAAAGTATAAAACAAGAATTAAGGTAGAGAACATAATTCGTGTTAAAATATCCAAAAAAAAAAAAATTATAATATTTCGTATTAAAATATTTCATCATAAATAAAATTTTTTATATATACATAATATCTACTATTAGATTATAATTTTTTTTTTTTGGATTCAACTTGTCATATTATTATATGTAATTTCTTTTTGAAATTTTTTTATTTTAGTAAATAAAATTCTAAGAAAGAAATGGTTTTTCTTTAAAAAATAATAATTCTTATAAATATATAAATAAATAAATAATTTTTATTATAAATTATCTTTATCATAATTTAAATCAAAGTTTTAAATTTAAAGATTTTAAAATATTTTATAGAATAAATTAATTCATTTTTAAAATTAAAAAATATGGAATAGATACATAGACTTTATAAATATATCATGTGATTGTTGAAACTTTTTTTACATGTTTTTTATTGTTAAAAAGTCACATTCAAAGGAATTCATAATTTGATACTTATGCTACAATCTATGTGGATCTCAAAAAGCTTCTATAAGACCTTCTTAGTAGGTTGTATATATAGAGAGAAGATGAAGACTATCTTTAATTTTATCAATGTATTTTTTATATTCTTATTTTGATTCAAGATTATCTAATTTATTTCTAATTAAAGTAGTCATTTTAGCTTCTTACTATCATTTATCTATATTTTTTTTTAAATTTATTCTTTTAATAATATAAAAATGTGATGTCTTTTTTAAGTTTTTTTTATTACTTATATCTTAGACACTTGCCACTATAAGCACAAAGGAACTAAACATAAACAATCTAAAGAAATTTGATGGAATAAGATCAAAATTTTATAGATTTTTAAAATTGACAAAGTGTCAAGGACAAGAACTCGATGAAAAAACAATTCAGACAAGTGAGCCTTCACTCAAAGAGAGGTAACAAAATATATATAAACAAGTATATATATTGAAAGAGAAACTAGAATGACTATTGACAAAAGACAAGAAAACTAGAGACCCTTGAAACTAGACTAGAAGCAAGAAAAGAGTTGACAAGAGTGAAGAAGCCTTCATTCTTGTGTCTATATATACTATCTAACTAGGGACTACGTTGCGACGTTCTATAGGACCTCCAATATGTGTTGACTTTGTAGGACACATGCCTTGACTTACAAGGTAAGTTCTTCTACACGTGGGCCACATAGTTAGCTTGATCTTCAAGCTAACAACATGTGTGGCACATGGCCAACTTATTGACCACGTTTCTAATCCAAAAAGTCAATTAAAGACACCTATGAAGTCAAAGCAGCGTCTATAAAGCTTCTAGGAAGCTTCTATATTAAATACTATAGAATTTACTTACTTTTACCTACTTTTACTTACTTCTACCTATTTGTATATGTAATTACTAGCTTACATGATTATGTCCATGACATTACCCCCCTTCTAGAGACGAGTTCCACGAGGAGCGATCATCATATGTCGAGGAAATCTATGATGCAACGAATTATATTCGCCACATACTCTGATCTTTGTTCTCTTCAAAGATGATTGATAGGGCCTCTCAACCATCAGTAGTGTCCCATACTAGGGCAGGAAGACCATCCAATTATTTGATCATTGTTGAGGCCTTCATAACTTCCTTTGAATAGAATATTTAGAACACCATCAGGAGTTGTTCCTACCTCTAGCACAATCACCAAACATCGAGAGTCCCTTTCCAAATCGTGATACCAAACGCGATGTATCTCGCCATCTATTCGAGGAAGAACATGTCGTTCTTGAAGATCTTCATCTCGATTGCATCATCTTGAAGGTTGTGACAATCATAATGTCTCATCCGGTAGGTCAGCAAATGAAGGCTCTTGAGTCGAATCCGTTGGTTGTTGGTTCTCCATCTCCTGAGCGTCACTACTACAAAGAAATTACGAACAAGAATTGAAAGTAGAATGTTATCTTGCCTAGATGTTGTTTCTTTTATAAAGAAGGTTTTCATCTTGATTTTGATGGATGTCGTCGATAAAAAGCCTCCACTGCCTTTGTTGCATTTGCAAGATTCTTTATTGGCTCCCATGTGCGTTCACTAATACCATATCTGTGCCAATGGATAAGATATTCTAATTTATTTCAGCGCTGCCTTGAATCTAAGACTTCTTCTACTTCAAACTCTTCATTATTGTCCACTTCTATAGGAGGAGGTAGAGCTTGTCGTCTTCTTGGTATGTCCACTGTCTTGTATGGTACAAGAAGAGATACGTGGAATACTAGATGGATTTTCATTAACTCCAGTAGATGTAAACGATATGCAACTGGATTGATTTGTGCAGAAATAGAAAATGGTCCCAACCTTCGATAGTCCAACTTTTCACAAGGACGAGTGGTCTTGATATTGCGACGAAGTAGCCATACCTTATCACCCAAGATGAATGATGGTTGTTCCTTTTGATAGACATCCGCATTGACCTTTTGTTATTCTTGAGCCTCTTTTAACTACGCCTTCATCGTTGCATGTAGCTTTGATAAATGAATTGCCTAATCTTTCGCAGCAGGATTATCAACTTTTGAAAAATCAAAAGTATCAAGTCGTGGATGATAACCATAATTAGCAAAGAAAAGTTGTTTGTTTTGTAGAAGAATGTACCGTGTTATTGTAAGCAAACTCTGCCAATGGCAAAAGAGTTGTCCAATCATCTTGTTGGTAATTAATGGTACATCTTAAATATTGTTCCAAAACTTGATTAACGTGCTCCGTTTGTCCATTAGTTTGAGGATGCAATACCGAAGATAGTTTTATATCCGCTTTAAGAATCTTGAAAAGAGTCCGCCAAAATCTTGATACAAATAGAGTTTCCCTGTTTGATATAATATCCTTGAATAATCCATGATAGTGATAGAAATGATCAAAAAAGAGCTTAGTTGTTTCTTCACCTGTGATAGATTTTTTACATGGTACAAAATGTGCCATCTTGGTAAAACGATCTACTATCACGAATATAGAGTCATAAGAACCTGAGATTGGAAGATCCATGATGAAGTCCATAGAAACAGAAGACCATAGTTCTTCTAGAATGGGTAATGGCTGAAGAAGTCCAAAAGGTCGATGACGAGGAGTTTTTGATCTTGAGCAAATATCACATGATTGTACAAAATCTTTGACTGCCTTCCACATTTGAGGCCACCAAAAATCCTTAGATATCAAGTCCAAAGTGTTATTATATCCAAAATGTCCTTCTGTTGGGAAGTGGTGACGAGCTTGAAGAACACGTAAACGTGCTTCTCCTTCAGGAACATATAAGCATCCTTCGAAATAGAGCAGGTTGTCTTTGAATTCAAATTTAGAGGGATCATGAGATTTAGAAGAATTATTCTTGATATCATGAACAAGAGGGTCTGAAGACATACTTAACTGGACTTGCTTAAGAAAAGTTAAATCAACAATCAATGTTGATTTTATTGCTCGAAGATGAAGTTGCTCGGACTTCAAGAGAACCATTCTTTATTGCTCAAAAGCTGCATCTCCTTCTTTTGGTGCAAGATAAGAACGTCTAGACAAGGCATCGGACAAACCTTGTTGTTTTCTTAGCCAATAAGTGATGATGAACTCGAATCTTGATAAAGACATGCTCCAACAAGTTCTGCCATGATAACACTTAGAAGAGAGAAGATGTCTAATATTGCTCAAGACAAATAAAAGAGAGGACTTGAGAACAAAGAAAATACTAAAGATAATATCAGTTTAGAAGAGGGTAATCCGCAACTTCTAATATGCTTATATCTTATCAAGAAAAAGGGGTAATCCACTCTTAATCAAGATTAGACAAAGCTCTGATATTGTAGGTGTACTCTTGTCAATCTGTCAAGGATAAGAACTCGATGAAAAAATAATTTAGACAAGTGAGCCTTCACTCAAAGAGAGGTAACCAAATATATATAAACAAGTATATATGTTGAAAGAGAAACTGGAATGGCTATTGCCAAAAGACAAGAAAACTAGAGACCCTTGAAACTAGACTAGAAGCAAGAAAAGAGTTGACAAGAGTGAAGAAGCCTTCACTCTTGTCTCTATATATACTATCTAACTAGGGGCTACGTGGCGATGTTCTATAGGACCTCCGAATATGTGTTCACTTTGTAAGACACATGCCTTGACTTACAAGGCAAGTTTTTCTACGTGTGGGCTACATAGTTAGCTTGATCTTCAAGCTAACAACATGTGTGGCACATGGCCAACTTGTTGACCACGTTTCTAATCCAAAAAGTCAATTAAAGACACCTATGAAGTCAAAGCAGCGTCTATGAAGCTTCTAAGAAGCTTCTATATTAAATACTATAGAATTTACTTACTTTTACCTATTTTTACTTACTTCTTCCTATTTATATATGTAATTACTAGCTTACATGATTATGTCCGTGATACAAAGTTGTTATGGACATACATATAATTACCTATATGATTAGATAGAAGTAGATAAATATAGATTAAATTTCGAATATTTTCTAAAAAAACTATTTAGAGGCTTTATAAATATAACTTTTATTTTACACATGTTTGTAGTTGATTTTTAGGTTAGAAACTTGATCAAA